CATGCCACCATTCTTGTGCTTGTCACTTTTCATCGCTTCTTTAACAGTTTCTGGGGCTTCAATTTCTTGTCTACCAGGAGTACCGGTTCTCACAAATCTTGGCCGGCCGGGCCCTCTGCGCAAATTATCGTGGTCTGCCTCGCTTTCATCAGTGTATTGATCACTTGTTATTGTGTCTTCAGCAGTCAAAATTTCTGAATTATTCAGATTCGGTTGCATTTCACCATTGGATGTTGTAAACTTTAATAATTCTAACGAAGAAGTCTCGCAATTGTTGTTGCCGCCCATCATGACATCCTCGTTAAATTGTACATCGCGCCGCACAACTGTTTGTCGGTTTTTTGGATCATATAATCGATATGCTTTCGTTTCACTGTCGTAGCCAATCATAATAAATTCTTTGCCTTTTTGGCAGAGCTTATTATTTTGTGTTTTGTCCAGTGGTATGGCCAAACATCCAAATACTCTCAGGTGCTTTACCACTGGCTTTCTGCCAGTCCAAACCTCATATGGTGTAACATTATTAAGCGCCTTTGTTGGTGTGCGGTTTCGTAGATAAGTCGCACAATTAAATGCTTCTGCCCAATAACTTTCGGGAAGATTGGAATGGACCAACATGCACCGCGCCATCTCTACGAGAGTTCTATTAGCGCGTTCCGCCACTCCATTCTGCTGTGCCGTATACGGTACGGTTAGTTGACGCCTAATACCACAATCTTTCAAATACTTATTAACCCGTTGTTTACATATTCGCCACCATTATCCGTTCTTAACGTTTTAATTTTGTTCCCCGATTGCAGCTCTATCATCCTTTTAAATGATTTAAAAGTTTCGGAAACTTGGTCTTTAGACCGCAGAAAATAAACAAAAAATCGCCTCGATTTATCATCAACAAATAACAAAAAATATCGCGAGCCGCCATGCGACCTTGTTTGGAACGGCCCACAAACATCAGAATGTATTAATTCTGCTATGTTTTCTGCACGACTTTCTGACGGCGAAAATGGCTGTGAAGTTGCATACATGACACGCACACAATATCTTTCGTATTTTGTATTTGGTCAATACCACATACAATATTTTTACTTGCAAGTCCGCTTAAACTTTCAAAGTTTATATGCCCAAAGCGATTATGCCATTTTAATGCATTTTCTGCTCGCGTTAAATAACAATGCTGATTTGTGTCGTTGAAAACATATAAGTTTTCCACCCTCTTTGCTTTGGGCATTACAATGTTATTGGTTTTGTCTCTTATTGTTACATGACCATCTTCAAATGTCGTTTTAAATTGTTTTTCGTCCGCTCTCGGTACCGAAATGAAATTCATAATCAAATCTGGTACATTTGAAAACAACTTTCTAGTGTAAAATCAAATTCGCCGCTTTTTACACGTGCTTCACCAATCCCTTCTGCATTTACGCTGTACTTTCCTGCCAATTCAATTCTTTCTGTATACTTACGGTGACCATCCGTCCTTTATTTTAAAGGACAGTCCTTTATTTTAACCCCCTGTCCTTTGTAATTTTTTTCAAAATAAAGGACCAGCAGTCAGGGCGAAGAGGGACAGAAGAGCCGCTTCTAGACTACTGAGGAAGATCGGCAATGACCCGGTTCCCGAGAGTATGAGGGTTGAGAGGGCGAGGGGCGTTCTCTCCGAAAGTCGTGAGCGACCTCAGGAATGAAATACCGCCAACAAACCTGCACCCACTCACTCTCGTCCTAGGGAGCTGGGCAGCAAAAGGCAATGGTCAGCAGACAACATGGATGCTGCTCCTAAGAGGCCCAAAACCTCTAGCGCTAACAGCCCTCTTAACCCTCCAAGGGTTCTGAGGGCTTTCAGTGATGTGGCCAAGGACCACTTGATCCTGGCAGTTATGGATAGGGGGCACCCGGAAGGAAACCTGACGGCCGACAACTGGAGGGCCGTCCTGGTGGGTCTCTGCCGGGTGTACAAGGAGATTCTCCGGAAAAATCCTGGCCCTGCGCCAACTGTCCGCGATGCTGGTCTCTACCAAGGCCGCATCAAATTAGTCTCCTGCGCTGATGAACGGTCTGCCCGACTTTATAAGGAAGCAATTTCTTCTGTTGGGGAGCTGTGGCCCAGCGCTGACTTGGCGGCAGTGCACAGGGATGAAATCCCTTGTAAGCCGCGAGCCAGAGCCTGGGTCCCAGAGGAACCCTCGAGTCCTGAGGAGATTCTGGATATCATCCAGATCTCGAATGATGCACTACCAGCCCTTGATTGGAAAGTAGTGAAGGTCAGCGAGGTTAGGGAGCAGCAACGTTACATCACCTTGGTGATAAACGATGAGTCTCTCCCAATCCTTGCTGGCTGCAAGGGAGTAATTAGCTACGGCTTTTACTCCATTACCCTCAAAACCCAAAAAGGGAATGAGGGTAAAATGATAGAGCCGGGGAACACCGAGGGTGAACCCGAGGCTGACAATCTTCCGCCTCTAGGCGGCCTTATATCTGAAGCAGAAAACGCCTTGAGCGGTCCTGCTTCTAACCAAGAGGTTCAGGAGGTTCTCGAGGCCATTTGCCCGGTGGTGAGGTCAGACTCGGCAGCGGAAACAGATAGCGATACGCAATCTGTTTCTGGTGACGGATCGGTACTTAACCGGTGGACGAGGGAGTTCGGGAACCTGTTTCTGACGTCGGATTCAGAGGACGCCGATGATACCATCGTTGAGGCGTTCGATAGAGCCCCGCCAGAAGTGATGGACGGGGACGAAACTTTATAAGCTGTTAATGAAGGTTCTACAAATAAACCTTCATCACTCTAAAGCAGCTTCTGCAGCTCTGCTCCTGCACCTCAGTGATAGAGGGGAGGAGCTAGTTTTTGTCCAGGAGCCCTGGGTTGTTAAGCACAGGGTTTGTGGACTTAATTCTGATGCTTACCGCATAGTGTCGGCCCCTGTGGCAGGTAAGATCAGGGCATGTATATTAATCAAAAAAAGTATTTCTTATAATTTACTCACACAGTTCAGCGATGAAGATACGGTGAGCATCTCTGTGGAAAGCCAATCCACAACACTCTGGCTGGTCAGTACCTACATGGCCTACGATCGCCAAGACTGCCCTCCCGCTCGGTTACTGGACGTGGTGAAAGCGGCCAACTCGAGGAAGTTTCCCATAGTTATCGGGGCCGATGCTAATGCGCATCACGCGGTATGGGGATCTACCGACATCAACCCGAGGGGTGAGTTGTTACTTGATTTTATATTATTATATAATCTAGCCATCTGTAATATTGGTGATAAACCCACTTTTGTAACCTCAAATAGGAAGGAGGTATTAGATATTACCTTATCGTCTAGCGCTTTCTTTGAGAGTATTAGGGAGTGGAAGGTACTGAGCGACCATTCATTCTCTGATCGCATGTATCTCTCATTTGTAATCTCCTTTGAACTTCCGGCATCGGCCGCTTACAGAAATAAGAGACGTACTGACTGGACTAAGTTTAGGAAAGTACTCTCGGGGAATTTGCTCAACAAGGCTTCTCTCAGTAAGCTAGGCTTACTGTCTCCACCTGATGAAGCGGAGCTTTCTCTCGCAAACCTTGCTTCTCTCGGTGAGTTAGGCTCATCGGAACAAATTGAAGAAGCCGTTGATTGCATTACCGAAGCCTGTAATTCGGCCTTATCTGCTTCCTGCCCACTTGTACTTCCGAGAGGAAAGAAGAAGCCACACTGGTGGAGCAAAGAAATCGCCTCTCTAAGGAAGGAAAGCAGGATACTCNTAAGGAAGGAAAGCAGGAAACTCTTTAATGCGGCCAAGCGCGATGGTTCTTGGACTGCATATAAGGCAGCCCTGAAGAAATTTAAAAATGCCACCAGGAAAGCTCAAAGGGACTCCTGGAAGGATTACTGCGATAGTATAGAGGGTCAGTCGGAGGGAAATCGCCTGCGAAAGGTGCTTGCGAAAAGTCCGACGAACCCGATGTATATTCAGAAACCAAATGGTGACTGGACGTCATCTCGTGAGGAAATGCTTGAAGTCCTAATGAACGCGCATTTTCCAGGATGTACTGCGGAGCCCAACACCGCGGCTATTATCTCTGAACGGCCGTTGACTTCAGCGGACTTCATTGATGTACAAAGGGTAGACTGGGCCATAAAGTCCTTCCAGCCCTACAAATCTCCAGGTATGGATGGTATCTTCCCTGCCCAACTTCAGTCAGCATCTGACGTGTTATGTCCGATACTTGTCTTAATCTATAAGGCTTGTATCAAGCTTAGTTTCATACCCAAGGGTTGGACCCTGGCGAAAGTTGTTTTTATTCCCAAGGGAGGTAGACCCTCCCACGTTAAACCAAGTGACTTTCGACCGATAAGCCTTACTTCTTTCTTTCTCAAGGTTCTGGAAAGACTTGTAGACTTGCAGATCCGACAGGAAATTGATGTAAATAATCTCTCTAGCTGTCAACACGCCTACTGGAAAGGTAGATCTGTGGATACAGCTTTGCATAGTATTGTCAGCACCATTGAAAAGACTCTCGCTTTTAAGGAATTTGCACTAGGCGTGTTCCTGGACATCGAGGGTGCCTTCAATAATGTTCTCCCGGGAGCGGTCCTTCAAGCCCTAGCTCGCCTTGGGCTGGATCACCCTATGGTTGAGTTTGTTCGTCGCCTCTTAGGCAGTAGAACTATTTACTCGGAGATGGGGGAGGTATCTATAACAAGATATGCGAGTCGCGGAACCCCACAAGGCGGTGTTCTCTCCCCACTTCTTTGGAATCTAACTGTGGATACCCTGCTGTCACGGTTGCAAGGCACAGGTTGCCAAGTCATTGCTTACGCGGATGATCTTGCCCTGACGGCAATTGGTAAGCACCCCCAAGTTCTATGTGACTTAGTTCAAGGCGCCTTACGCGTCGTGGATACCTGGTCCAAAGAAGTAGGACTTAGTGTCAATCCGGCAAAAACGGCTGTCTGTTTTCAAAGAAAACGAAAGCTGTCCGGCTACAACCTCCATCCTTGAACGGTATCGCACTGACTTTCTTGGAGGAGGTTAGATATCTGGGCGTTATTCTTGACAGAAAGTTAACTTGGCGGCGCAATATAGAAGAGCGCTGCAAGAAAGCTATAACTGCTATGTATGCCTGTAAATCGGCGATTGGGAAAAATGGGGATTGAAGCCTCATATTGTGAACTGGATGTACACAGCGGTTGTGCGTCCCATTCTATTCTACGGCATAACGGTTTGGTGGCCGTCCGTAGATAAATCTACAATAAGAAACAAATTAACAGCNCTAGATAAATCTACTATAAGATACAAATTAACAGCGGTCCAAAGGGTGGCGTGCATGATGATCACGGGAGCGTTACCATCGACGCCGACTAAAGCCCTAGAGACCTTGCTTCACTTGCTACCTGTGGACCTATATGGTAAACTACAGGCAAGCTGTAATGCTATTAGATTAAATGCGCTAATCAAATGGAGTGACACGAGGTTTGGGCACTCTAGAATCTTGGAAAATCTTCCAGATGACTTTAGGCGCCTGGACTACACAGTCCCGTCTACGGGACTAAAGAATTATTTCCGGACAAGGATCCCCTCAAGGGAAGAATGGGAGGAGGATTCGGTCCTGATATCGTATTCTGACTCAACAGCCATCTACACTGATGGCTCCAAGTTGGATCTGAAGGTAGGAAGTGGGGTATACTCGCAAGAACTCTCACTTAGCCTCAGCTTCCGTCTGCCAGATCTATGCAGCGTTTTTCAGGCTGAACTAACAGCAATAAATGAAGCTGCAAGTTGGCTTATCGATTCTCTAATTAATCTGAAGGCGGTAACAATCTTATCTGACAGCTAAGCGGCTATTAAAGCACTTAATAGTGACAAATCTACGTCGAAGGTTGTCTTGGAATGTAGACGTACTCTTAATGAACTGGCAAGGTGTTACGTCACTAATGTTGTGTGGGTGCCAGGCCACAAAGACATACCAGGAAACTGTACTGCAGATGAACTAGCAAGGAAAGGAACCTTGTTGCCTGCAATCAGTACAGCCCGTAATGCGGGCATTCCGCTATCTTCTCTCTGCAAGCTCTGGCTTGAGAATAACTTTGTCGGACGGGCTAATATAAGATGGTCTGCGGAGCCTACTTGCAGGATAGCAAGACATATCTGGCCTAAGCTTGACAAGCGTAGATCTCACCCTCTTCTCCACTTGGAGCGACCACTGTTGCGGCATGTTATTGCAGTCCTCAGTGGGCATTGCCTGATGGGAATCCACGCCACTAGAATGGGTTTGCAGTCAAACGACTACTGTCGTAGCTGCCGCGATGAGGAGGAAATCGAAAGCGTGGAGCACTACTTATGCCACTGTCCTGCTCTGGCTAGAGCTCGCCGATGCTCGTTCCTCCATTATTCTTTTGAATGTCTGGCCGAACTGGATTCAGCCAGTGTCTATGACTTTGTGCGCTTCATCAGAGCAACGAAGTGGTTCCACTACTAGGGTAAGAGGAGGGACATATGGAGTCTCTTATACGGCATCACAACGGGCCCTTGGTGGCCTAAGTGTGCCCTTTTCCTGAGGG